AAAAAGTTGTGACCTCATGTAGCTGTCCCCCCTTACCGCAGAAGATGCAGTCCACCTTATTGTGTGTTACTGATTGTCGTCGATTCTTTAATGCAGGGGCTTTCTCCTCTTCTGGGTGGTCTTCTTCTTTCTTCCTTTTCCTAGATACTCTTTCTTTGGCTTTTTGTAGCTTCGACAAATTGAATTTCAAATAGCAAGACTTGTGCCAAGACGCCTCGTTTTTAATTAAAACTTCAGTGTCTATATCAAGAGCGAAGGGAACATTGACTGGCAGGGCACCTAGTGAGCTAAACTCGAGAACATTCTGAAGAAAAGAGGCATAGACTTATGCAGGTTCATAACAGRAACCAGATGCTCTAAGAGGACATCTTAAATCTTCTGTCAGGTAGTTGTTTGGCATATGATGCATCGATTCCAAGATATTTCCATTTCCGATTCTGAAATAAATATATTTTCGATTAATTTTAGCTAATTAATTCGAAAAACAACTTAAAATTCAAAGAAAGCCTGTTAAACCAAACTTTTATATATATAACAATATAAAAATAGCAATGAATCACGGCCTTTTAAGAGCAAAATACTTACAGGTTTTGTAGGTAAGTCTGTGGACCGCCATCTTGGAATTAGCCAATGGCCGAGTGGGATTGGCCACTAGTGTTTGAAAGAGATGCCGAAAAGTAGCTTTTTTGTTAAGATTTGGGGTTGTAATCGATAGCCATGACAGATAATGCATTCCAATGGGTAGATAGCTGTTTTAACATTTATTCAAAACGATTTTACATATTTAATGAATATATTTAAATAAAGAAGCACAGGGAGCCCAATTCGTGAAATCTGAAAAAGTAAATCCTCCGTAATTCTCCTTAAAGGACAATTTACGTTGGGCTCCCCCTCTAACATTGATAGTACTACCATAAGCTACAACTATGCCAAGTTTGGTGCTTTTGTAAGCTCTGTAACGATCAAGACCATAAGAGACCTGACTATTGACCTTTCCATGATATATATATACATAAGAAAGCTGAAAGAAAGTTGAAGAGCGAAAACTACAAGTAAAATGATAACCAGTGCCCTAGTGCTACATCAGCACTGCCGGTTCTAATGTAGTATCAGTCCATTGCTTTCTACGCCACTTTTTTACTGGACCCATTTGATTTGTTTTCCATACCTTGTTGATTCTTGGTACATTAAGGATTTGAATAAAATAGAGAGAAAGACATACCAGGCTGCTTGAAAAGAAGACAGATAGAAAAATATTTAATAGAAGTTTATTCGTTCAAATTACGGCAATAAAACATAAAAGGATGACGAACTACAATGTATAACACCGACTAGAAATACTGAATTAATATTTCACATATAACAAAATCGCATCAAAACAATTGTATACATAACTACAAGATCATTAAATGACGTTACACTATGTACCAATGCCTTAGTTATATATATTTAACGTGTAGACCCGCAGCCCAAATACTCCAAATGGTCTACGAGCCCGTAGGCCATAAAGCAAAGGGTCGAATAAACTCTATGGAGTCGTAGACAATAAGGTCGAAAGGTCTGATTATTTTAGTGTAAACCTACTAATCGGTCAAATAAATGGATAAACAAAATTTTGAAATTAGGTTGAAAATGCAAGTTAGCTGCCATTTTTTTTAATTTGAAACTGACACTTTTCGCTTCTAGTGGTCTATCACTAATAGACTACTAGTAGTTTAACCAATCAGAGCGCAGGATTTGTGATAGACCATTAGTGGGTTTATAGGTACTATAATATGGGTTTTATGTGCTATTGCTTAGCAGCACAATAAAAGAGACACACCCACTCACTAGATTTATCTATATACATCATCACTAGCTTGCTTGGAGCAAAGCCCCAGGTTTGATTACCGAAGCTTGGTCTGCTTACGTAACTGATTTAAGTACAGCTCTTTATAATGAATTGCCATGGAAAAGCATGTTAAGTAACTTGGGAAATTTTTTTTTATGACTCTAGTTTTTTTAAAAATACATATGTGCTATTAATCTTATGCTGTTATGCAATATATTTACGACAAAAATTTAAAAGTCCTTTTTTTGCAATGTACATAAGAATACAGCTCTAAGTGATTTTTGCCAAGAGACAGTGAAGTAACAAAAGACATGGATATCATGGCTACTGTCAGTGGAAACTGAAAGTAATAAAAAATGATTCCATGGGGCTTTTGGTCCATCGTCTATCAAACATGTATTGATACACTTAAGGCACAATATTAACATTATTATTCCATTCATCGTTTTGATCGGCTCAAAAATACACGGTACACAAAATCATGTTCCTATCATAGATAGTATAGCCACCAGCATATCGAGCATTCTAGATCATTTATTTAACAATTATTCGCCGAAGGCGAAGTGAATATCGGGGAATATTTACCGAGACGCGAGTCTTCGAGCGGCGAGGTAAATATTTCCCGATATTCACTGAGGCTGAGGCAAATAATTGTTTTGATATAAATACACAGGTGATTCTTTCAAAAAAGAGGAAAAAAAAGAAGAAAAAAAAGAAGATAAAAGACATTTTTTCCCGGTAACAGCAACAAAGCGGCTGGCCGCCATTTTGGATTGTCGCTGGAGGTGATTATCGTGTGATAGTGTGAGTTTCTCGACCAATCAGCGCGCGAGATTTTCAATAATCACCTGTGTATTTTTACTAAATAACATTAATATATACCACAGCAATATTTTAGGTGGTCATTAAAAACCAAGGGGTCGATGTCCTGTAAGGAAATTGGCAGCAGGATAATTGGTGTTCATCTGAGAGAAAGGTCCATCATGGCTGCCATAACCCAGGCCGGTGTAACCATTGCTGTTGTAGCCATGATTACTATGGTTACTGAAACCATGGCTATTGTAACTATGGTTGGGAACCATGGAATTGATGTAAAGGCTTGGGGTTTGATTTGCAGAATTGGTTGATGACGTGTTGGTAGTAACACTAGGTAAGTAGCATAAGCCACTGGTTTGCCCTGATGATAATTTCATCTGTTGTTCTCCAGGAGAACTGCCTTGTTTATCAGGGGAGCCACTCTTCCTCCAGCGATACCTTCTGTTTTTGAACCATGCCTGAAGTAAAAAGAGAGATAACTCGTCGTTATTGCTCCCACCACTTGCAACGTCGTTCCCAGTATCCGATAAACACACGCTACACGAAGAATAAGATAAAATTAGGAAAAATAAAAATTTTGTTTGATTCGGGACTGATCTCCAGAAGGTGATAACTCATAGATCATCAAACAAAGTTGCTCCCGATAGTCGGAACATGCCCAATAATTAAAGAAGGGGGAAAAGATCTATTGAAAATACGAGCTGTGAAGACAGATAAATGGAAGAACGACGATGAGATCATGAAAAAGATCAAAAGACTCTATGCCATTATTATTTTATATCTGGCCGCGGTACAACCAAAAGAGTTGAGGGAAGAGTTTAACAGCTACATAGACGTAACATACGTCAGTTTATATAGAAAGAACGTTGACATATTATATAGAATGAGTGTGTCGGAATATGAATAGAAAATCAGAACAGCAAGATGTACAAAGAAAGACTAATGTAGTGGGAAGATTTTTGCAACATAAATTTAGTCACATAAAGGAATGGAAACATCGAGTAGTGCTGTTTGAAACTTGACGTCCTAAGTGAGTTTGAAGTATAACATGAAATGACAACTCATTGACCAAAACGGCATTTAAAAAAAAAAGACATCAGCCTTTGTTTCAAATAAAGAGTATCCTTACTGATTAAGAACTGATTTCTTTTCATACCTGTACTGTCTTACAAGGAAGTCTAAGCTCCATGCTTAACTGCTCTTGGTCGCTCTTTGAAATATAAGCAGAACTCATAAACTTACTCTCTAGTTGGACTCGCTGGTAAGCTGTTATCCTTGTGCGTTTTTTGAAAGTGCTTGCATCGCTGCTTTCTCGATTATTTTGATCTAAAAAAACAATATCAAATCATTCTTATAATCTAACTTCGTCATTACTTATATACACTACTCATAAGGTAAGTCTTGCTGTAAAATACCTTGAATTAGTTCGGCAGAGTGTTTCGTCTTTATATCACCTTTGTGAGAAGAACAGCAATTTGAAAACAACTGAATTTGATTCATTGTCAAAACTTTTCTTCTCTTCTTTTTCACGACGGGTTTTTAGCCTAAGCCTGCCTCTCAGAAATGTGTGTCTGAGGTGCGCATAAGCGCTTTTATAACGAACTATCTCTCTTTCAGCCAATCAGCTTTGACTTTGATAATTAAGCTTCATAATAATTACATCATTGTCCATTCTCATGCACGCGTACGTTATTATGATACATAAATTAAATTTTTCACTCTCACGTGCACACTTCTTCCTCCCCTGTCAAATTAAAAACCCTAAACTCTAACAAAAAAATAAACTTGGGTAAAAACTAACATACATTGTCATACATATTTGCTTGAACTTTGCAAGAAAAGGTTTAAATTCTTTTGATGTTCGTTTGAGAACGATGATTAAGTGTGAAAATGTAGGTACTAATTAGGCAATATCGAGATCAATTAATTCATGTTCACAAAGGGCGTGGTATAATTACTTGCGGCAGGTTGATATTTTGATTTTCGTTAAAGACATTTAATTGCAATTAATTTTACTTCTCATAACAGAAAGTTCGAGTTATTAGGCAAGGCTTGTTTGTTTTAGAATCGCACGAAAGAAAAATATATTTTCTTGTGGTGCATGTGACAAACAGTTCGTGGTCGTTACCATGGAAATAAACCATCTGTTCGGTCACGCCCAGAAGGGTGTGACCTTCGACACGTGGCGCGGCCTTCCAAAAACTTGGTAGAATATTATTTTGCTGCCATATATGGTGTCAGAATTGCCGGAATCCTGGTCGGCCATTCCTGTTGTTTTCTTTCAAGTATCAATGTATTGGATACCGAACTGGCAAAAATGTCCATACAATATATAATCACCGCAATAATTCTCTCGCGGAATGGTCCATGTGCGTGATATATTTCGAACTCTTGTGTGAAGCCTATTTGGAAAGAAGGTTCTTTCTTTTTAAGGGGGAGGCCGGGGGGACGAAAACTAGTATTTCTTAACAACTTGGCTCACAACTTGATGATTTCTATACTGGGCCGAACGAATTCGTGAACGCTAGTAGATTCTAATAAATACTACTACTACTACTGCTTCTGCTGCTGCTGCTGCTACTACTACAGCAACATACGATATCCTATGCCGACGTAAGTTCCAGCTACTCAACCGTAGGACTCGCAGTGATGAAAGGGGAACGTTTACCTGCTATGCTGCCCCCAGTCATGACGCCTTTACGGCATTCATTGGCATTAAAGAGCTCTTTTACTCCGACGAAGGACTAACGTCCGAAACGTCAGTAAGTTTTGTCATCTTTTCACGGTGTATAATTTACCCTTTTATCATTACTGTTTCATTAGAAACACCGACGCAGCTCACACTAGTTTTTAGCTAGTTATCTCTCTTTATATTGTGTATATAGTATGGGAAAGGGTAAATGTTCTTTTGATAGTATATGGGAATACTATACTTATTATTGCATGGTTCTCTATTATATATTCACGGCTTACCAGGGGAATATGGTATAGAGATCAGCCAGATATGGGATGATCCTGTAAGTATACACTTATTTCAATAAAGTTAGTCACCTGAAAAGCTACAAAGCTGAGACCGGCAAGGATTATGGGTAGATACATTTTACATGTTTTAACCACTTGATATAAACTGTGATGGACTTGAGATCTTTTACCAGTTACAAGTTCACCTCCTCTGAGCATCCTCAACTGCTGCAGTTTGTGTCAAAAGCTTTACTTGTTGGATATAAAACATTTCCCCATGATTCTCAGCGATCACAGCTTTCTAGGTTTTTGGTGACTGACTTTATTGAAATAAGTATATATGATAATGTATGAGGAAATTACCCGCTGCACAAGATACTGATGGGATATACTACAATGGCGTATGAGGAAATATAACAGCATTGTCAATATTTTTTTGTTGGTACGTCTATGCTATGAGAAATATGCCAAAATGCTGATGGCATTTAAGGTTAAAGTATCAATTAAAAAAGATGCGGAAAGTTAATTAGTTCACAGCGGTATTTTCTACTTTGAATACCCCACGAAATTCGAGCAAATTAATCTAGACTGTACAAAAAAAAAAAAAAAAAAAAATATGACACAACTATAGTGACAACAATTTAATACCTTAATTAATAAATTCAAATTAAAGTTTACCACGAATGATTACTTTGCTTTTTTTGTAGTCAGGATAAAAAAAATTAATTCCAATTAGAGACTTGCTTAGTTTTCTGATTCATTGGTGGATGGTAATTATCTTGAGCAACACTCGTATTAGTATAGGAAATAGGACTACATGCTGTCCAATTTGGAAATAATTGGATGAAAAAACTGAAGAAATTGGAAGAGGCCGATAGGCCGGGTCCAATTTTCCACTCAGAGGAATTTTTTGAATTCAATTGTTTCCAAATTGGACAGACATGTAGCCGGTCCTTCATCCCAAACTATACTAGATTGACTCCATAAGTCATAGTTTTCCCTCGAAAGAATGCGAATAGAAACGATCCAAATTAATCTTTAATTTAGAAAGGAACTGAGAATTTGAAAATAATACAATGTTTGCTTATATATGCATAGAGTGGTGATACAGTTATGTAGTATTCAGTATGATCTTACGAAGATGGCCAAGTGAACGAGCATGGAAACACGTTTTTCAGTTTTGAAAATTTTGAAATTTGGGTTTAACAAACTGTGATTCAAAAATTTTTTCATTGATTTTTTTCATTAGGTACGAGATGGCCACGTGAGGTGAACCTCCGCCTTCTTTGTCTGTTCTTCACATTTCAGACCATGTGATGCCACTCTTTGGAGTTGATTCTATCATGTGAAAATATTCTAACATATTCGTCATAAAAGAATAATTCTCAAGGGAATGTCATGTGATCTGAAATGGGCAATTTCGATGCGAAGCTAAAAAGCGCTCTTTTCTATGAATATATTCAAAGGCGCGTACAATCATGAAGTGGTTTGTATGAGGTGTAAGGGTGGTCACCGCCAGTGTTTTTCACGTTCTCGGTGGTTCTTTTACTTCCCTCCGATATTGGTTTGTAATGATGAAGTGTGGAAACATTACATTACAAAGGCAGCACTTTCTCGTCAGTTATCTTAATACCCTGAGTGTTGGTCCGGCCGCATTCCATACTACGAAGCTATAAGCAATGGCAGACTGGAGTGAAGAAAACGTTAAAATTAGTATATGTAATAGGACTCCATGCTGTCCAATTAAGAAATAATTGGACGAGGAAAATTCCGAGGACTGACAAAATTGGATGAGGCCGTTGTCCAATTAAGAAAATAATTGGACAGTTACCTATATGGGATTAATGAGAAACTGTATAATTATTATTGAAATTGGCTATGCAGTAACGAGAAGTGGAGATTAAACAACGAGTAAACGAGTATTTGTGCCTTCAGCGATGAGTGAGATGTTTGACTACAGCGCACTAAGGCCCTCCCAAGTCTTTGCCATTCCTTCGAGCATGCGCAATAACTGCATAATAGGGATATAGGGTATAGCACTCCTATCTTCCCGATGGAGTCCCGAAGGGACGTGTCAACACTTACAACGCTTCGTGTGCTGCTCGTCCCACGTCCCTTCGGGACTTCATCGGGAAGATAGGAGTGCCCGCATGTTTATTTACCAGCGGTTATCGTTTAATTTCCAAGATGGCGGCTGAAATGTACGAAAGCGATTAAAAACGCGCTAAAAATAGAGAGAAATCATTCTGCCGTGCTCCCTTGGGTATACTGCAATAATTGCGCAGGTTTCACTTTCAACCCTATAGCCCTATTATGCAGTTATTGCGCATGCTCGAAGGAATGGCAAAGACTTGGGAGGGCCTTAGTGCGCTGTAGTCAAACAAGATGGCGTCTGAAATGTACGAAAGCGATTAAAAACGCGCTAAAAATAGAGAGAAATCATTCTTCTGTGCTCCCTTGGTATACCTTGAAAGAAACAATAAAAGTAGAAAATTTAATATTCCACTCAAAATCACATAGCTCATCGTAAATGCGCGCGCATATTGGCTAGAGGGTATTTTATCATAAAATCTTAATTATTTCCTAGTAAAAACTCCAAATAAACGTGAACTAAATATTCCATGCTACTTTCCGATAATTTTATTTTATTTTTCACTGTTTTAACCGTTTCGTATGGTTCCCATATATCGGCGGCACGCGTGCGATAACATCGCCGGTTATTGCCCCAGTCATGTCTCAAGCAGCCTGAGACGCCCTGTGATATAGAGCCGGTTATGTCGGCCACACGCCTGCGATGCCACTGCAGGCACTACCTAGGACGCCATTCATGGAAATGTTATACCGGCACGGCGAAAATCGCGTAAAATTACAATAATTGTTGCATCAATTATGCCAGCGGAAAATATCGCAGGCAGATGGCCGAAAGCCCCGTTTACACTGGCGATTTTTGCGGCCATTTTTGCTGCCATTTTTGTGGCAATTTTCGGAAATATGAAATCTTTTGTCTCATCCTTCAAAAGAGACATTCGTCTAGGAAAATCCTGGTATCCTGAAAAAAACTTTACAAGTAAACTCTTTACCATTATTTATTATGGACAATATCGCAAAAAAATGGCAGCAAAAATCGCCGCAAAAATCGCTAGTGTAAACGGGGCTGAATATGTTTCCATATTCATTGTACGTCGCAGGCGAGTCTGGGACTATCGCGGACACCGCCGACATGCTGTAAAACTTGAACTCAACTCAACTTTGGCAGGCATGCCGGGGGCAAACCTGGACAGTCTGTGATGCCGCCGCCGACAAGGTGTTTTCATCATCGCAATGCAATGGCATCCAAGGTAGTATCTGCGGTGGCATCGTAGGTGTGTCTTTGACCCATGGAAATCAGGCTTGATATTAGTTTTCTTTAAGTATTTTCAAATGAACAGCCTTAGAGAATTCCATAATAAGAACAACTTCGTGATTAAACATAATATGTACATTTTAGATTGTCTCAATCCTTTTAGCTGAATAAACATCCTATTTTCTCTTCTCAAGAAGCAAGGTCTTGTCATTTGTTGGTTAAGCCGAACATGACGGAGTGGGAATTTTAGTTTAGTTTTCCAAGAATGACACATAGTCAGTTAATAGGCCAAGTTCTTGCTCACTGGTCAGTGGAATCTCCTTAGCAACAGTATCTAGGAATAAAATATGAGTGATAATTTAATATTATTTCGAATAGGAAAACTAGACCACAGGAAGCCCACTTCATATAAAAAACAAGACTCTCCAGCAACAAAAATTCCCCCATGCAAATGGAAAAAAGAAAAAAGAAAAAAAGAAAAAAATCTGAAACTTGGATTTTCTGCTGACTTGTCTCGTAGCACTAGCTGTTAAGATCTTAACATCAATGTCATTTTTTAAATTTCTTGTCTTATATTAGTGACTGACTAGTGACTAGTGACTATTAAGTTTGAAAAAAGACTGCGTTTAGCTCTAGTGGGTTACCTGTGGTTAAGCATACATTTTTTACATTTGGTAGACCTTCATTTACCAGATGCTGAGGCCTCAACTCCTTCTTAATGCATTTTCCCTCTTTCAATAGGCCTTTCCCGAATTCACTTGGCTGGTCAAGAAACAATGGTTTCAAGTTGTGGTTGGACTTGATGAATAAAAGAGTCAAGTTCAGTCTCGATTTCAAACCATTGTTTCATGGTCAGTCAAGTGAATTCGGGAAAGGTCTATTGTATTGTAGTCCTGAAGGCTTTTCAGACTTAACAAAATGCTTTATTTCAAGCAGTTACAAATCTCAAGCAGTACCTGGTTTTTTCGGATTCAAGAGCATGTTGTTTGTGTCAAAGATCCATCCACGGCTTTTGGCAACTACATTGTTGAGAAATAAACAAACACACAAAAGGGGAAAACAAGAAAATGTTAGGTAATTATTAATGATAATGAATTTTAAATATTCAGAGGCAAATTAACTTTCAATCAGGGTCAGAAAATGGTTGTCTAGTTGGTGACCAAATTTGTCCTGAGTCTGTTTGCTAAGTAACAGAAAATAATAGTATTTTTAGCACATATTTACCTTCTATAGCAGACTCTTTTGTCATTCCCATGTACACCACAAAGTCATCCACTTTTATATAGGTGTATGCATTTGCAATTAGATTAAATGCTTTTTCTTGTAATTTTTCTATTCAAAATCAAGAATATTAAGGGTTAGTAATAATAATAATATGATAATGACCCATATCTGATAAATACTGTTGCTCAGGCAATTACCTCTGTCATGACTGTATGCTTATCATAATGATATTACATGTATTCCCTTATTGATGGTTTGCAACCATCCCCAAGAGAGTTAAACAACAGAGACATGTCAGCCATGCTGCCATTATTGACAATGAAAGCTAATGACAAATCTATTGTCAATTACCACCAACGGTAACGTAAGCCATGGTAACGTAAGATGCAAACAATGAATTTATACCTAATTTATTCCTTTATTAGTGGGCAGCTGCATGGGTCCTGAAATTTCCTTCCCTTAAAACAAACCCCTATTTAGTAGACAACTCTGTTTGGCAGACTTCAGGCAAGGTTTCAATGGTGTCCACTGTCAAGGGCAGATCCAACAGAAAAAAACGATGCTTTTTTATATTGTTTTGCGTTGTGTTGACGGAAAAAACTCAATTAGCCCCCCTAAATTCAATTAGTCCCCCCCCTAAACTCAATTAGCTCCCCTAAAATTTTGGCTGGATCCACCCTTGACTGTTGAAATAAAGCTAACACTGTAAACAGATTTTCTAAAGAAAAAACTGGCTGACCTTTTAATGATACCATGTAAGTCTGGATTAGAGGTGACCAATCTTGTTGTAAAGAAGAGTAAATATTGAGGTAATCTCTTTTCCACATATGACATCCCAAAGTCCATAACTTTGAAAGCTCAGGGCAACTCTTTGGACGAAAAGGTAGATAAATATTATGTACATTTTATGTAAAAAAATATCCACATCAAGTTGAAATGTGTTCTTTAAATTTGCTTTTAATCAGAGATCTTACTGCTTTTACATCTTCTGGTATTCTTTTCCAAAGAAACTTTGCATTACAGCTGTTAAAGAAAAAGAAAAAGAAAAAAACAGATCATATTTTATTATGAAAGTCATAAGTTGTGAGAGATGTACATTCATGTTAAAAGCTATTATAATGGAGATAAAAGTATTGGGTTATCTGCTTAGCACTTACATGAAAAAGGAAAAGATGTAAAAGGAAAAATGGGAAACGTTTCAATAATTCTTGAATACTCCTATTTCAAGATGTTTTGCTCAGCCTCAATTGTGTACAAATGTGTTCTTTTCTTCAATTAAGGTCTGTTGTATAGTAAGGGATACAAGTACTACAGAACATTTTTATAAAAACTGTGCTTTATTAGTGAATGAGCACAGTGCTGATGCTATCAGCGTGCCCAAAGTGCTGCTAGATCCTGCAACTGTCTTTCTCCTTGCGTAAATAAATTCAATACTGAAATAAAATTAGTAACTATGTAATAAAACAAATAAAACAGCTTTTTTCTGTGCTCCATTCAGTAATAAAGCACTTAGAAAGCACCGTAAGCACCCAAGAAGTAAGAGAAGCACTCCCCTATGGCTCGTGCTTCTCCTCACACTTCTCTCATGCTTGCGTCACTTCCTGTGTGTTTTATTACTGAACGGAGGACAGAAAAAGCTGTTTTATTTGTTAAATACGAGTTGATTAAAATGCCACAGGTTTTGGTTGAATAGCTGAATATTAATATAACTCACAACCGAGTCTGAGCAAAGAGAACTCAAAACTGGAGTATTCTCATTATGGAATATTGTTTAAAAATGGCAGTGTATTAAGCAAGTGACAGCTGAAGCTTCTGAACTTCACAGCATTTATAATCCTCAACATTTTTTAAACAATGGCATTGCCTAGATGACGGTTAGGGTTGGGTTGGCATTGTAGTAGTTCTTTGGCGCAGAAGGTGCCAAGTTTGATTCTTGGTGTCTTCAATTAATTTAATTAGTGAAGAGAACCAAAAGACTCATGTATTCAGAAACCTATGATGTACTTTGTTAACCTGTACACGACGATAGTACCAACAAACGGGTTTGCATCGTACACAAATATAAATAAGCTTACATGTACATCCTATCTACAGTACACCGTTTTTGATTCAAACATCAAAACAGTTAAAACACCAAAAACAAAAGAATTATCCAAAAACCATTTCAACTACGTGCCAAAAATGCTTCTTCAAAGCAAAAGAATCAAAAAACAACAATATCTAAATTAAAAACGTAGAGGTACATATGAACAAATGCTTACATGTCACATTGAAGCAGATAGATAGCCAACAGCTGTGTGTAAACCTCTGCATTTGCAGACCCCTGTGCAAACAGCAGGATAACAGTAAGTACCAGAAAGAATATATGATAAAAATATACTTTAAAAACGTAGAAATTCCCCTTACATCTAGTTCTAATTCTTCAAGATTTGAACAAAGTTCCTCAACATTTTCTATGTGGACCGCCATTTTGAATGGTTTACCAAAAAAACTGCTGACCACTATTCTGCTTACTCAATATTAGCGAGAAAGTATCGATTAGTAAACGAGACATTATTGATTGATTAAGTCAGTCATGCTCGCTGTGCCGAGGAAGTTTGGTTCTTTTGTGCTTCCAGGTATTAGTGTCGGTCTGAAAGCTTTGAGAAACTTGAAAACGTCAGCTTTTCTAGCCATGCCTATTAAGGTGAGAAAGCCACCTACGAAAAAAATTGGCAGCTATAATTTCAGGCTTTAGTTATGTTTTTATTTAAGCGTTAAGCTTATCAGAACTTCGCGCGTTGAGGTCGTGCACAATTTGCTGCATCAGGCTGCATGGTTGGTAGCATCTCACTTGAGACTGTCCTAGCTGTCCTATTTTAGGAGGTGATATAAGCTTTTCTGTGTTTGTTGATTCACATAAATAATCTGTTTGGATCAAATAATCATCTTTACGTGGTCGTACTGCACCTATCAATGTCTTGCCCCAACGGGGGGAGCCCGGGCATACACAGGCTATTGACATAAAAACCTTGCCCATGACAGGGGCTGCTAGGCTTTTATTGACACTTTTTTTCGTTTTCAGAGTAAAACCCTCAAAAACAGCATTTTTATATGGCCCTTAAGAGGGGCTCATTGACAATTTCTTTTCAAAGATGTCAATAGCCCCTGGGTATGCCTGGGCTCCCCCCGTTGGGGCAAGACATTGATAGGTGCATACGATAATGAACATTTGCTACTCTTGGGATGTTATTTCCTGTATCTTTGTGTTTTAGTAGCATATATTATTATTATTATTACATAACAGTTTTTACAATTTAAGTCATCCTTGAGTAACTCTGGGTCAGGTTCACTTGAGGGAAGGGATGCATATCTCCTTCACTCTAACTTTGTAGAATAAAATTATTTTACATAAAGAAAAAAGGAATAGTCTTTTAGATTTATTAAGCTTTCAGTAAAATGTATAATTATTTGGGTTTTTATAAGGTTTTAAATTAATGCTGTATAAAGTTGAATGTACACTGGTCGCTAGCGGTATCCTGATATCCTTAAACGATTCTTTTACTTCATGCTATACAAGCTGTTGGTTTAGAAAAGTTTTGCAGGTACATTGTTAGGACCCATGATAAGGGGGGGGGGGGGATGAAGAAAAAGGCTGGGTGGCTGTTAGTCTCCCCTGCAGCCTTTCTTATTGCACCATGCGACACTCACTCCCCTCTAACTAGTGGGGTAAAGTAAAACTTTCTCTAAAAAGCTATATTAAACAGAATCTAATGCCTATTCCAAAAATGAAAGGAAAAGTGGGCTGTCCCAAGCTTCTTTTTGAGATATTGAATTCTGAATATTTCCATCTTGACTTGTAAGTTTTTAAAAGAAAATGGCAGAAACCAAGCTTTGCGCAAAAAATTCATAACACAAAAACTAAATAAGCTAAGATTGCTTTTTAGCTGTATTTTTAGGAAATCCTGTTAGATGGCCGTGCAAAATATTAGGGTTTTGTCCTGTTGAAGTTCAAAACGTGTATCGTTCCTTAATGAAATTTTGAAGTTTATTCAGCCGTTTTGAGCAGTTTTTGTGCGCACACACATGCACCATTAGCTCTAACTGAGCATTCAATAGTATGCAGTCACCTTCATATTTATCAAGGGAAAAACTTTTGGCCTTTTTTTAAGGTTGGTGACAAGCTTCCATCAGTGGAGGTGATGGAGGGCACACCTAAAGACAAGGTGAACATTGCCAAACTTTTTGAAGGAAAGAAAGGCATTTTATTTGCTGTTCCAGGTGCATTTACACCAGGGTGCTCCAAGGTACTGTATAAAGATAAACATCAACGCAGTAGAAGATGCATTCAATATTTAAAACCTTTATCTTGACTAAGAGGGAGGGGCTGGAGGGCTTTATTCTCTTCTGTTTTACAAATAGACCCCTTGTATTGATTTCCCAGAGGAATTGTTCTAGGGGACAAAACAATATGCCGTCTTTTCTTATGCAAAAAAGTTTATTGTTTTGTCCCCCCCAGAATGATTCCTCTCAAGACTCAGTGCAAGGGGTTTATAACCACTAAGGTGTAAGTCTCATCCCCCTAGCTGCCCCATCCACAATAATTCATCCATACTAGTCTACTGAGCTTCACTTTCAAAGTGTGTTCCATACTCCTTGACTACCTTGTACTAAACAATATCGGATTTTTGCAAGTAATTATAGTTGTAATAAGAATAATTTAGTCATTTGGTGTATTGTTTTTAAGTAATACGGTTTTTATAATCGACAGACTCATCTACCAGGGTACATAGCAGACCATAGCAAATTAACAGTAAGTTGTTTAATTAATGAATTAATCTTTTTTTACCTTTTACTAGAACAATGCTGTTTGACTTTAGGACACTAACCTTACAGTACATGTATGTAATTATCTGGTCAAATAGTCATAGACAATTATTAGTGGAATTTTTATAAAGGGACTTTGGAAAAGTTTGGTTATATATATATGTTATTTACCGGCCAGGAGGTCCAGATAGGGAAAAACTGTGCCCGAGGTCTTGAATATACGGACAGAGGCTGTTAGGCGGAGGTCCATTTTCAAGACCGAGGGCACAGTTTTTCCCTATCCGGACCAACTATAGGATGGTAAATAACTTTTTTTTTTTTTAACTTGTTTTTGTAATCATTTTGTATTGTCGTTTAGCGGCAAAGGATACCGGACCGCTCACGGGCAGATACTGACAAAATACCGCCCACTCAAACAGCCAATCAGAACGCACGATTTTTTAGGATACTGGACCGGAAAAAAATAAAAATGGTTATTTCAGAAAAGTTAGTCACACAAATTGTTTATAAGAGAATTCGATTGAAGACTGTTTAGGGGCCCAAGATGGTTAAGTGTTCAGTAACCCATCCATTCCTGTCTCCTTCTCCACTCCCCTTGAGACCAGTTCGTTTTGGTCCTACATAGGCCTTGCTCGTATACAGGGCCTGTTTTTCAATGTCATCTCAAGCATATTGCTGCTTTTTACATTCTTGTCATTTTAGGGCAAAGGAGTGGAAGTCATAGCTTGTGTTGCTGTTAATGATCCCTTTGTGATGGCTGCATGGGGAGAGGCACATGGAGCTGCTGGAAAAGTATGTGAGCCATTAAAACAGGAAGATATCTTGTTGAATTTATCTCGTTATGCATTCAACCTTATTGGTGACCTTGGTGTGATTGCTTTTGGACAATGCAGTATAAGTGAATGGAGCGCAGAGCGTACTTTGCAAAGAAGCATGCAGCGCTATACTACACTGAAAACTAATATGTAAACTTGTATTACTTTCAGGTGCACATGCTTGCTGATACAAATTGTGCGTTTACTAAAGTAAGTAAGAAAATTGAAAGACTATCTGGTGTTAATAAATATTAGAAGTAGTTATATAACTATGTGACTGTGTACTAAGATACAATTGTTTAATTTGTGATTTTTCTTCTTCTTTTTCTTCTTTTTCTTTACTAATATCAATATCAATATTCATGTTATGATAATTTTGAATTTGACCACAGGCTGTAGACATGGAACTTGATGCAACTCCATTTCTTGGCAACACTAGATCAAAAAGGTAAATGCATCTTACATTCTGCAATTCTTGCTCAGCTCTACCTCTCTTTTCTCCCAAGGAGTTTTTTATTTGAGCAAAGTTAAAATTTGTCGAGCGTAGTGAGCAAGCAATGGAGTGGCACCCCAGTTAAGGTACGCAAAGGGCGGCAGACTTAGCAAAAGTGTATAATAACAACAACTGCACTTTTTTTATTTTGACTGCAATGTTTTTTATTTTCAATGTTAAGGTATTCAATGGTGATAGAGGATGGCACAGTAAAGCATGTCAACATTGAACCTGATGGTACTGGACTGACATGCAGTCTTGCTAATAATATTCTTAGCCAGCTTTGAAAATGTGTGCAAAGTATTGGCCTCTAGGTGTGAAGTGAATAAAATGCTAATTGGGTTTTCATTTGGCTTGTTTGATCACTTTCTTGTGCCTTACTATGCTGGCCTCCTGCTGTCAACAATTTCATTCTTAGCCTGAGTATCAGCCATTCTCTTTACCAATATAGACTCAACCTTGCCTTTCTCCTTCCCTCCATTGCTCTCTCCCTTGAAAGGGATCTTGCATTTCGTTGCTAACATTTCTTTCATTTGAATTTTTCTCAGAGTTTTAAATGTTTTCTTAACCCTGCTTTAAAAACGTGATTGATAATATCTACTAGAGTAAACTTAGTCAACAAAGCTTTTAATTCTAAAGTGAATAATGAATTAGTACTTCATATTAATAGTACAGATATCACAAAGATACATCATTAAGAAGCTTTTGCTGGCATGTACACACCATCACCTGTGCCTTTTAATATTTGATATTTATGTTGTAACATCACAGGCAGCCCAAGCTTGGTTTCTGTGGTGTCCTGTTATAAGGAAATGTATGGGGAWTCATCAAAAATTTCAATAAAAYCATYDAAACGTGAAATAAAGCCTCGAAATTTTACCCKATCATTGAGAAATAGCACTTCTTTCGCTCTGCGTGGTTATTTTTTGAATTTAGCCCGTTTTAAGGATTTTTTCCGCCACCAGTAAGAAATAAGAGAAGCTTATTTCTTACTGGTGGGGGAAAAAATCCTTAAAACGGGCTAAATTCAAAAAATAACCACGCAGAGCGAAAAAAGTGCTATTTCTCAATGATAGGGTAAAATTTCGAGGCTTTATTTCACGTTTTGATGGTTTTATTGAAATTTTTGATGATTCCCCATACATTTCCTTATAACAGGACACCACAGAAACCAAGCTTGGGCTACCTGTGGTAACATTATAGACAACGTCATTATTTAGTATATATAGAGGTTATCAGTCGGCTAAGCATCTGATACGGCTGTGCAGTGGCGGATCCAGGGTGGGTCGAAGGGGTCCACGGAACCCCCCTTGAAGGTTTGATCTTTTAAGTAATAGAAATATGTCTTATATAAATTTTGCTTAAAAGTTAATGTTGAACACGAAATGATAAATATTTGCTGTTGTAATGTTTAATTTACTAGATAGTAAATTACCGTAGGTGATCAGAGCCAATTTTTTTGTCAAACATCGACTAAACAAAAGAGAATTATACACTGTTTAAGAAACGGAACCCCCCTTTGAAAAATCCTGGATCCGCCACTGCTGTGTAATTCTATGAGTCACGGAGTATTTGGGCGAGCCAAGATACATGTGAAGAGTAAAAATGCAAAGCTGTATCAGATGCTTAGCCTACTGATAAGTTGTTTATCATTTAATTCTGCAAATAAGTGCTCAAACTCTTTCTAAACCTTATCCTACCCAGCGCGAGCGGATGAGAAGTGCTGATACGGTCTCATATCAGGCATGTTGTTTTTCCATATCACGCACGTTATTTGCAGAATTAAATGATAAAGTAGCAATATCATAGACACTTTTCAAAATTGTCTTGATGCAAGGCGCTAACAGGAAAATACAAAAGAAATAGTACAAATCCTATATTTAGAAAAGAGTGCGGGATCTGCTTGGAGTTGTATTTATCTTAATCACCTCACGTTCAGAATTTCAAAAGTTTTCTATTGGTTTATTTCCATTTTATACCCTTATCACCCAATTAACCAGTAAAATTACAGAGATGGATGCTTTATGTACTCCTCCTTTTTTAAATTGCATAAGAAATCAGGGCATAGTGATATGCAGTAAATGAAAGTGTCTACATTCTACTTGTTATTCAAGTTGTATTTCTTCCTTAGCTTGTCTGTTTTTCCACCAGTTGATCCGTGACGTAGCATGATTGGCCTTCGCTTCATGTCATCATCATCATCACTCGTATCAGAATCGTCCAATCTAGTATAGCCTTCCCTTTTTAGCAGACGTAGTATACAATACATTACAGCATAGGCGAGTATTGGGGTCAAGATGAATAGTATTATAGGAAGCAGTACAATGATTTCCTTCACATGTGAGCAACTTTTGTAGTACCATTGGTCTGTCGAGCAGTTAGCAGGCTTGAAGCCATCTCGGGGGTAATAGCCACACACCTTACTCGACTCACACCAGTAACAAACGCCATCAGATGTACAGTCTTTGCAATTTGGTTTACGTTCGTGACACGGTGTGGTAAACCCTGTTGCAATGATAAACAACAAATAAAAAATGGTGAGGGACGCGATGCAGTGAAGGAATGTTGCGTGCTACAGACCATGACATTCGACGCGTAAATATCCAATAGCTTTTAGAAGATTTTCCTAAAACTTGAAATTATTTTTAATGCACTCTATTATCTGTAGTGCTTGCAATCGTAATTCTTTAAAACTTTAAACTGATTTCTCTTATTATTACTACTGTTGTTGTACAAATAAGATCCTCATCATTCAATCATTATAATTATGAACTTGTTATGTGCTCAGTAGCAAAATTAAGAGAGCGAGAATATTTGAGTAAACTTTCAAATTAAATTAGTATCAAAATATTTCTTTAATTTCGTTTAGAAAATCAATAGTCAATTTTTTTATAAGTTAGCTTGAATTTTCAAGATCGTGCTTTTTAATTTAAGATAATATTTTCTTATTAAGATCTTAAGGCGCGTATTAATCTTGAGTGTAAACTAACTTCTTGTACTTGAACAGACTTACCAGAATAAGTACACTGATTTTTGTACCATGATTTGCTGCCACAAGAATCTGTAGTAGAAGCACCAAAATAAGGGATACAGGATTGCTTTGTTTTACACCAAGCACAGAATTCCAAGTTGGTACAAGTTGAACAGTTGGTTTTAAGGTGGCATAGGAAGCTTGCGTTCAGAGTCACGTCCTTAACATCAAGAACGTAAGATCTCTCAGCCTGGTATAAATCTTTAAGTTGGTCTTCGAGGTTGTTTTCTTGGCAAGCGAGCTGGTCTCTTGAAGAACAGTGTCGGCTTGACTTGCAAACGCCACCAGACTCTTCACTATCACTACACCATGTACAGGATTTCTTCCGTAAACACTTAGCACAATTTGGCACCTCTTGTTTGCAAGGACTGTAGTCTTCTTGTGACCTGAAGTAATCGTAGAATCGCATATCGTATTCTGCAGGATCCAGACTTGAGTCATGAGTGGCAAAACACCCCACTATTAAAAACAGAAAGAGTACCACCTTCATCCCGCCAAAATATCTTCTATCCTGAATAAAATAAAAATGTGCTGGTCGGTATGTTTATATCTGCTCCTTAAGCTTATATTATAGAAACTGAAGGCTATTTGAATTTCCAAATCAAATAAGGGCCATGGTATTACAGCTAGCGAAAAATACTACTACTTATTTGTAGCTGAATGTTAACTGAAGAGTACTTAACAGGCCAAGTAGCCGGTATAGCAATTGAAGACCAGCTAAAAAATGCGCTCAAAATATCATTAATCACCCAATCATTTGACGATCCTTAAGCAATTGTTAATTTAGCATACTTACACTAGATTATGTGCATAAGATAAAAGCAGATTAGGCGGGCAATGTGAAAACAAACCCTCATGCATCAGCGCGCAGTCATGTCATCCACTCAACCATTAATAATAGCCCGCGCTAAGAAAACACAGAGAACTACTATATAAGATAGAGTGCAAACAATATATCCGTGAAACACTAATTACTAAATTGTTCAAAATAGTGCTAATTAAACAAAAGAAAACAATAGAATTAGCATAAAATAGTGTAAGGCCCTGGCTAAACGAGGAAACAAGTTTCTAGAAACATGTTTCCCGCGCGCATGTTCCCCGATGATTCCAAGTTTAGCCACATGCGAAACATTGCTACGTGCAACAAATTTTGCTTTCAAGACGCAAAAATATTTCTGCTGTGCGGCAGAAACATTTCATGACCTCCCAGACGTAATTCATCTTTGCAGCATTCTGCTTTATGCAGATGACACGGTATTGTTCTTCTCTAGTTCAGATGTCTCCATAATTGAAAAGAAGCTGAATAATGAGTTGAATGCAATCGACTGTTGGCTTAGGGAAAATAGGGTTGTATCGTCGTGTACGGGAATTGTCAGGGGAATTCTATTCAAATTCAAATTTCAAGTCGGCTAGTAATCGTACCCTACGATAGCATAAATTAAACTATAATAAATATTTATGTGCACATGCTGATGATACATCGTTTAAATATGACTAAAAAATGAGACCAACCAACCGAATTCACTTCGTGGTCTAGAGAATAGGTTTAGGGTTAGGGTTGGCATTGTAGTAGTTCTTTGGTGCCGAAGGTACCGAGTTCGATTCTTGGTGTCTTCAATTATTTTTTTTTTAAGTGAGTAGAACCAAAATTTCTAAGTCCCACTCGTGTGTGTTCGGAAACCTATGACGTACTTCGTTAATCTGTACACGACGATAGTACCGAAAATAGTCTATTCTTAAATGCCACCAAGACTGAGTCCTTGCTATTTGGAACTTATGCAAAGTTGAACAATGTAAAACATTTTGATATTCAAGTTTATAGTACACTCGACAAAATTACTCGACTCTGATTGGTCGAGAGGAGTACAATTATAGCGTTAATTGTACTCCGTAGGAGTACCGAATTAAGTTGCTATGGCAACACGGCCAAAACAATGTCAAAACAATTATTTTCTATCATTTTGTACTTAAAAAACATATAAATAAAATTTCAAAGCCGTAGGAACTAATCTTTTTTATGCATTTCAGTTGCGTGATGGACTGAAAATCGGCCGCCAAATAGACAAAGATGAACGGCGTCGCTTCGCATTTTTTACTGAAATTTTGTTAAGTGAACTATAAACAAAAAATCGTACGATCTTCTCGTACAATTTGGAATTTATAGACACTCGTAATGTTTTGAAAGTTCTTTAATTGTACTCGCTTAAAGGCTCGTGCAATTACAAGAACTTTCAAAACATTACTCGTGTCTATTAATTTCCAAATTGTACTCGAGATCGTGCGATTTCCTATACTAATGGACAGACCATTAAGCGTGTCTATGAATTTAGATATTTGGGTGTTGTATTTGAATAACATGTTAGCTGGAATGAACATGTAAAATATGTCTTGGCAAGAGAATATAGATCCGAAAAGAAAAAAACCGTCTTTCTCACAAACAATTTTCGTTTCGAAAGACATTGTGATAAATATATATTTCCATCTTTTGTGATACATTAACCGGAATCATTTTTTATTTATTGATACTTGTTTTCCTTCGTTGTCAAATTAAAAAAGTTCTTCACTTCAGAAGTATGTTTTTAAAGTATTCTTCGTTTGCAACCTGGAATAGGCGTCATAGCCGCCATGTTGGAAGAATTTGACAAAAGATTTTTCAATGAATTCTTTTGCTATATCTTCCAACATGGCGGACATCCCTTTTGTTATTGTGCTCTCTTGGGATTGATTG